AGACTGACAGACAGATGATCAAGAGACAAATGATAGAGGACGCTTAGACTGATAGATGAGACGGGTGATAGATGACAGACAGATACGAAAGTTACGGGACTTGGCTCACAATTGTGGAGACCGCGGAGTCCACACCAGACCACCTGCAAGCTGGATAACCAGGGAAGCCGGTGGTTGACTCGATCCAGGTTCAGAGGCCTGAGACTCTGGGGCTGCTGGAAGCCAAGAACTTGGAGTTGTGAGGCTGGAGGGCAGGAGAAGGGCCCTCAACTCCAGGAGGGAGAATTTGCCTTTCCCCCTCCTTTTCGTTCCGTCTGGGCCCCCAGCCGATTGGACGGTACCTGCTCACAGTAGGGGCGAATCCTCCCTCTCAGTCCCCCAACTCACCCACCAATCTCCTCTGGAAACACTCTCATAGACACACCCAGAAGTAATGCCCTGCCAGCTAGTATCCCTAAATCCAGTCAAAGACCTAAAATCAACCTTCAAACACACAGAGGAGAAAAGACTTGCACAAGGCCACACAGAGACTAGTTTTCTCAGCTTTGTCTCACCATCGTGCCTGTGCATCAGGTACTTGGAGGTGTCCAGCCAGAGCACCCTCAACTTACTCCCCCGTCTCATCCATTTAAGCCAGCAGGCCAGGGTAGGACGGAGTTCCCGCCTCCTGCGGCTCACAGTTGTGTGACGCGTTCTGAAGCAGCCTCTCCCGCTACCCGGGACCCCCCCTGGGCTGGAGCAACGCCGTCTGGCTCTCGAGCTGCCTCCCGCGGGGCTGATGACTCTGTCCCAAGAGCGTGTTTTCCAGCTGCTGGCCCGGCCCTTCTCGTCTGTGTGACCGACCCCGCGTCTACCTGGTTGGCAGGGAAAAGAGGCCATCACCTCGGCCGCCATGGTCTCGCCCACGGGCATCTGCCTGCTCCTGCAAAAGAGCCCTGGAAGCCCCCAGTCCTGAGCACTCAGGACCGCGCCTACTCCTGGCATCCAGCCCCTTCTCTCTCGGGACGGAGCAACTCTTTCTCTGATCCGCTTCCTAAACAAACTCCTTTTCTTCCGACCTGCCTCTGTGCCGTTCTTTGCATACGCGTGGCCCCAACTCAGCTCGCGGGCCTGACACCCCCACGGCCGGGCTCATCAGAAGGCAAGCCCTGACTTGCACTGGCTCTCCCGAGGCCCCGGGAAGGGCTCTAGCCGCCTCTGCTCACAGGCTTGCATTCCTCTGCACCAACAAGAACCCAGACCCCACAAAACTTGGACTTGCTCCTCCGCACCCGGAGTCGCTTGGGGAGTTAAATAAGATTTTGTTCACAAAGCGGGTGGCACTCAGGAGGCTTCGAGGTGTGTCACTTCCCTCCAGAACAGCCCCGAGAAGGGACGGAAGGACAGACAGGACAGCAGGCTGGCGTGCTTGTTCCACGTCGCTTTAATGCCCCGCGGGTGCCACGCCACGGCCTGGCCTCAGAGGAGCGGGCTAGGGCATCTGGCTCTCCAGAGGGCCTTCCCCGTCACGGGTGAGGCCGTGGATCCAGTCGAGGTAGCGGCTGACTTTGGTGTACACGCCGTAGTTGTGAGGGAGGCCGCAGCCCTCGCCCCAGCTCACCAGGCCCACCAGGAACCAGGTGCCGCGGAACAGAGCCACCATGGGCCCCCCGCTGTCCCCCTCGCAGGCGTCCCGCCGGTCCCCAAGGACGCCCGCACACAGCATGTTCTCGGAGACGCTGTTGCTCATGACCTCGGCGCACTCGTTGCGCGGGACCAGGGGGATGCTGATGAAGTTGAGGACAGAGGTGCGGTTCCTCCGGGTGTCCCTCTCGCGGCTGCTGTGGTAGCCCCAGCCCGTCACCACGGTCTCCTGGCCGGCCTGGGTGAGCTCGCGCTCCGCCAGGCCGCTGTCCGGGAGGCAGACGGGCACGACGGTCTGCGAGAGGGTGGCGGGCTGGGCCAGGCGGAGCAGCGCGATGTCATTGTCGGTGGTGCTCTTGCTGTAGTTGGGGTGGACGAAGGTGTCCTTGATGTCCAGATCCACCTCCCACTTCTCCCATCGCCGCAGGTCATACTCTCCTGCAAAAGAGGGCACCGTCAGCGGCAGGAGCCTCTTCCCCATGGCGCGTGCCCAGGGCTGGCACTGCCAGCCCCCTGCAGACCTGTGCGGGGGGGGGGCCCTAGCGGCCCACAGCTGGAGAGCGCACACCCACGTGCTGGGGGGCCATGCGTCTGTGCCACGGATCCCTAGCAAGGATGGCTTTTTTTTTGAGTTGGAGTCTCACTCCGTTGCCCAGGCTGGAGTGCCCTGGCACGCTGATGGCCACCCAGCGTCGATCTGCTGGGTTCTGGCGATCCTTTCGCCTCAGCCTTCCAAGTAGCCGGAACTACAGGCACACGCTACCATGCCCAACCAGTTTTGTATTTACTGTAGAGACGAGGTTGCACCACCTTGCCTGGGCTGGTCTCGAACCCACGGGCTAGGGTAATCCACTCGCCTCAGCCTCCCAAAGCGCTGGGATGACAGGCTGAGCCACAGAGCCCGGCCCCAAGGATGACTTTTCCGGCTAGGAGAGGCCCATAGGTGTCAATCCCAAAGGAGCAGACCTAGTCTGGATTCGCGAATGAAGCTGTGAGACCAGGAAGTAACCTGAAGTCCACAGACCAGAGCCACAGAGGAGTGGTGAGACAACCACAGCTGAGAGGCAAAGGCAGGGGCAGCGAGACCCAGGGAGGAGGATCCACAGAACACGGCACTTCCGGGGAGGAAAAGACAAGTCCTCTCAGATCAGACAGATGGCTCCTGGGAGGAGGGCCTGGAACGTTCAAGCCACGCCCATGGGGGCCACGGCACAGACCTTTTCCTTCCTTTTGGCAGAGAGTTAAGTCCACAGACGGACGGAGGCTCGGGGACCCCAGACTACGAGGGAAGCAGCTCACTGCTTTGGCCCATAGCTCAGCTCTGTCCCCAGGAGTCTGTGAGGCACATCCCTGAGTTCAGGCCTTGCCGGTCTCTGTACCCAAAGTGCAGGCCCACACACAGCCTGCTACACACTAGGGGAAGTGGAGAGGAGAGGATAGGGTGGCCGCTTGCTGACAACCATGTGGCAGGTGCCTGGGCCCAGATCTGAAGAGGTACCAGAGCATCCCCTACCTGCAGCATACCAGGTGTCACAGGGCAGACGGGGCACACAGGCCTCTTCCCCCAGACACCTTCTGTGGAGTTCAAGCAGCCTCTTGCTTGGACGCCCTGGGGACGCCCTGGGGTTTGCAGGGTCTGCCAAGCCCCAACAGCCAGCCCGCTCCCCGCAGCCTCCCACAGCCCCCTTCTGCCTGGCTCCAGCCATACCAAGCCTGACAGTGAACTTCTTGGAGTCCTCCATGCAGTGGGCCGCCGTCAGCACCCAGGAGGGGTGGATGAGCACCGCCCCGCAGGCAAGTTTCTTCTTTGAGTCCAGCAGGGCCACCTGGAAGGGGCGTGGGGGGCATCGCAGGCTGCCTTCCCACAACTCCAGGTCAGGGCCCCTGGGTCTCACAGGGCCCTGGCATGGTTCTCATGCACTCCCCTGAATTCCCTGGCTGCATGGACAGAGTCTCACTGCCCTTTTGTGGCACCTTCTATTTCTGCTGTACGGTGTTGGCTGGTCCCAGGACGTCTCCTGACTTTGCCCACGCTGTTCCTGTACTGTCCCATGCTGTTGCAGTCACCCTCTGCCACACCCACCGCCACCCAGCGAGCCCTGCTCATCCTTGGAGGCTTGGGCCAGGTCTGGTGTGCCCAGGCTGCCCTGGGGGTCCCCTCGGACCGCCCTCGGCCCCTGGCCTGAAGGCCATCCTGGGCTGGTCCCACTGGGGGTCTTGACCCTGCCAGAATCCGGGGGCTCCCGGGGGCTGTGCCTTCTCTCTCCCCACAGTGCCCGGCAGAGAGGGAGCCAAGCGTAAGGCTCCGGTTGCGCGCGAGGAGCAGCCGGGTCCCCTTCCTGGCCCCCCCCACGGACGTTCTCCTTCCAGCTCTTCTTCAGGCCGCGCCCCTCCCTCTTCCTTTCCTGGAGCCGCCCCCCACTTCCCTCCGAAGCCCGAGCAACGCAGCACCCCTCCCCTCCGCACGCTGCGCAGAGAGCCCTGGCGGGGCCCCTGCCAGGGCTACCTGCCAGGGGCCGTCGCCCCGTCTGGTCCGCTGCCCGCCCACGAACCGCGGGGCC